TATGGATCATTTGGATGTTTTTTATGGAACGTTTTTGAATATTTTATGGATCATTTTATCAATTCTAAAGGTGCATACTTAGGGCTGCCTTTTTTTTCCTCGATTTGTTTTTCCGTCGATCTTGTTTTCCGTGCTGGGCACCAATGCAACCGACGCCAGGGAGGCAGCTCCCACACCTGGACCCTACACCTAAAGACCCATCAACTCATGAACCGGGGACCAACGGCTACTACTACTTCCCTTCCGAAGGAAGGCGTGATCAGAGATGTTATGCCCCAGAACATCCCGGCGGCGCCGATTGGGATTGAACCCAGGCCTGCTGAGGGGGAGAGGTAATCACGCTTACCACTATACCACCGGCACCGCTTGAACAATATTGCTTAAAACAGCTATTTTCTATAAGACTAAGATTATGAGAGGTAGTCGTAACTAGTATTGGGCGATCTTGAAGCAAGAATCGATCTTAGTGAATCGATTCATTTTTTTTAAATAATCGATTCACCGATTTAATCAATCATTTTGAATCGATCTTTTTGAATCGATCTTTTGAATCGATTCATTTTTCAAAATGGCACAAAAATGTTTCAAATATAACGGATCATAGGAAAGTTAGTGCAAATTAACCCAAGTTCAGTCTAGAGTTGATATTACGTTATATATGCTATCTTGTTATGACATTTCAGCTATAATAGTTATTTAATGTGATGATTAATATCATCTAGAAATAAATTGTGTAGTACGTACGCAGTGAATGTTGTGAGTGTAACATACATTGCTGGTCATTAAAATAGGTGTAGGCAAAATAAATACGAAATTTTAGGTTATATTCATTCAACTTAATTTTATTCGAATTTGTTTTATATTCGGCCGTGAACACAACGACGATATAGGCGGAACGGTGGACTGGGAGATACGGACAGCACAAGGTTCACCACCGGGTACCAACTCCAGGGCAAGGTAGGCAGGGATAATCCAAACAATTCATGTACTGCTGCTATTAACTAGTTAATATTCTATTATTTAATTCTTTGTTTTTCACGGGTTGACTTCCAATTTTATTCTGAACATCCTCAGTTTAGGGTTCTCATATTTATACCAAGTTTGGCTTCCTTCGAGAACGTTCGAAACAAGCCTGTTATTAACGACGTTGTTACTGTTGCTAATCTAACAACGTTGTTTGCTCGTTGTTGTTCCTAAAGGCGTTGCTGACTTGGATCGCTTTAGGGAAGTGCTCGTCTCGTACACATTGATAGTGTAATAAAAATTAAGCAATTGCACGAGAAAACTCAAAGCTAAAACATTAAATGACTCATTCATTAGAATCATGTATAAAATATACCTGGTCAGTGAAATAGGTCTGTTGCATAAAACTATATAGAAAGTTTGAAAATAATCGTATAAGTTTTATTTGACTAATGACGCTTAGTAACCGCTGTGCCCTCCATTGTTAAGTAGAACCTTGTTCAATCTTCTTAGCATTGAATCAACCAAGCACTAACAAGTTTCCTTTGGTATAGCATCCCAAGTGACAATTTTGGTTTTATGAGGGTTCTGTAGACCACGATTCAGACTTGTAGAATGCTATAAAACCTCTATAAAACTAGCAATGCTACTTGGGATACCACTCTTTTTGAACTGTCGATCCTTATTTGAAAATGCTTGACCAGATAACTTTCTTTTGAGCTCGTTCCATAAATTTTCCATGGGGTTGATGTCAGGAGATTGGCTAGGCCATGAAATAACCGACACTTTGTTTGCACGAAACCATTCCTTTACATACTTAGAAGTGTGTTTCGGATCGTTGTCTTGCTGAAAATGCCATATAAGAGGCATGTTCTCTTCTGCATAAGGGAGCATAACCTCCTCCATGATTTCTTGGTATTCAAATCTGGTCATGTTTTAAAATAAGCCCTACTCTATACCAAGAAAAACAGCCCCAAACCATGATGCTACCACCTCTATGCTTTACGGTATTTACCGTGTACCGCCCCGCGGATCGAACTCTTCAACGGGTGGTCTACGTCAGAATATAGTAAATGCCTTTTTTGATTTCATTTGACATGTGGAAGTTTTTGCTCAGGATTCTTGTTTAGGTAAGTGATTTAACAGGCTATAATATTCGTTTTATTGGTATTAAATAAGTGTAAAAGCAGGTAATTACGGAAAGTACTTAATTCAGATATCCCAAAATTCATCCGAGAGGGATCCCAAGAAAGCTAGTTGAGCCATGCGTTTTGCATAGAGCCGATATCGATTATGTGTGGTTTCATAAGTTTTATAGAATAACCTCTCTGACGCAACACTTGTTACCATTCTTGATAAATAGTCTCGAGGAATGGGGTTTTCATGGGGATAACACTACAGATTTTCTCTCATCATCGAAAAAGATCAACAGAACGTGGGAAAACAGGTTGATGCAAGAAATTTTGTTCATTCGGCCCATATGGCAATCCAGTTCTGATATAGCAGAGGACTGATGAACCTGAAATATGTCATAAGAAGTGAATGTTTGTACATATGTAGATTAATAACTTTCTTTACCATTTCGTCATGAATATCCCACAAGCCTCCGGTTGGTTTTGGTGGGGGGAAAGATGTGTGCAATCATCGTATACTCTTTTGGTTACATAGATCTGCTAAGACACAATTTTAACTGCCCGAGCGTGAGCTGAAGAGTACAGGTACAGGTCATTATTTAATTGCAAATGCAAATGCACTGAATTTTTCGTTTTTGGATCGAATGAAAAGGATCGATCCAGTCGATTTTTTTCGTGTTTGAGATCGATTCAAAAAATCGATTAATCGAACCAAAAGAATCGATCTTTTATGTTTCGATCCAAGATCGCCCATTGCTAGTCGTAACAGGAAGTTCGCTTGTACACTAAGGATAAAATTCTCCAGGTAGTGATACATGTCTGAACTGGCTTTGCAGAAGACAGCAACTTCATAGATAGCCAGGATATAAAGATATAGCTTAAACATATGAACTCTCGTGCTCGTCGAACGGCCTTATAGTCACCTAACAACTTTGCCGAAGACGGTTAGGTGGTCAGGATCTCAATATGTAGCTTAGCCTATACATGAAATTCACATTCACAGTAGAGCCGCGTAGTGAACCTAAAGCCTTGACCCCTGAACAACTTTACCGAAGGAAGTAATTTTTTATATGTCCGGGATCACGAGATATTCCATGTTGGAACCATGTTGAATTCCGTATGGTACACACTTAGAAATTCCTAATTTTACACGTGACGGAATCTATCTTTGACATAAAAAGATGAGACGTAAACAAACATGTCATGTAAAATTAAGTGCTCCGAGACTGAAAAGTTCGTTACTCGACGAAAAGTACGTTATATTGAGCTGAATTTCGCGTCTATTATGACGCAATTTTATGTCCAAATTGACGCTTGTATATGTCAATCTCAGAGCACCTAAATTTTCAGGAATTTTTCTAAGTGTGTACGTAAACTCCATTTGCTCGCTTCCCTGTGATTGCTGTAGCTAGTTCAATAAAGGAAACACTTTTAACAGCAATTTTTGGATCGAAAATGTTAGATTATTGAGAATTGAGAAACAAGAAGATGTGTAAAAAGTATGCCCAAAAATACAAACAAAATAAAGAACTTAATTATTCCTATTTTTGTTAATTCAGGCAAGAAAAATATTGATACACAATAGATCTATATGTGACAATCTCCCTTTTATATCTGCTTAAGTTGATAACATTTTCCCAGAAAAAAAAGAAAACAAAAACTCAACGACAAGCTTAGGTCTAGGTGTGAATCGACGTCCCACTAGCGGTCTCGCTCTTGCTCACGTAACACGGCACACAGCTGTCAAGAATGCTGCGAGAAAACGATCGCACATGATTTCCCACTTTCACTCTTTTTCACACATTTGTTTTTCCCTGATCGCCTCCTTGCTATCTTTTTCACTTTTTGGTTTCCTCTACCCGCCGTGCGTCGCGTCATCGTGGCACAGCACCCCGTTCCAACGTACCGAAGTTTGATCGCACTGTGGTACATTGAGAATTTACCGAAAATTGATACTCATAAACAAAAGAAGCCGTAATGCCCTATGTACTTGACGATGAAATTATCCCACATTATTTTGGAAAAATAAAATATGGCATGCACCCACTCCTTATTCCATGCTAATTTCAGATAAATCCATAATCCAACACATCCCATAGTGCCCACTAACCATCCCTCCGATCTAGATCTTGTCTGTTTTCCTCTCTCTATCTCCGTGTTACTTTCTCACTCGTGAAGATCATCTTGCCTGCGATCCTGCGCGATCGCAGAACTTCTTGGGCGGATTTCACCGTTGTCAGTGCTGCCGGGGAAACACTCGGAGGAAAATCGTTTTTCCCAATCCATCCAGATTTCGTTTTCTCTTTCTTTCACTTGAACCCGCGTGTCGCGTACCTACCAGTCTGCGGATCATTGAACGTTCACGCGGCATTTTCGGTCGGTCGGACGGTTTAGTTATTCTTGATAATTTTATTGTACGATCAACGGTTCGCGCCCGCAGTGCTTCTTAATGGACGCCCATCTTTACCCGCTAGGTAGTGAAAATCGGGTCGGAAGGGGGAAAATCTTCGCTACCGGTTGAAAGTTTAATTATTATTGTTCGGCCAGCGATAGTGTGTTTACTTGCTGATATATCGGTGCTTAGGCCTTCCCCAAGATCATCAAACGCCGGAGGCCCCTGGGATCCTCGTTTTTTATACTTTATGTTCTGGTCGTGCGCCATGGACCGCTCGAGTTTGAGGTGTGAAAATTTTCTGTGAAAGTGCGAGACAATTAGGTGTTGATCACTGGTAGCCGTGAAAAAAGTGCCTCTCACTAGCGGTGCCCTAGCTGTCCAATGATCCGTCGCAGCGCAGCTACTATAGTCAGGCCAACCCAAATGGTTTGTTTGGGTGCTTCCTAGTCGTGGATCAAAGCAAATAGTGTTGTTGGTTTTCAACGGTGCCAGAGAATAATCGCTTTGATAACAAAAATATAGCACCTCCCTCGAGTGTCAACGGAAAATGTGCTGAAAAGTGTTAAAGAGTGCGAAAATTTGTGACACGATTGTCGATTGATTTATTCCTGTGTTTCTATGAGCGTGTGTGTTTGTGGAAGAAGTGTACCACCATCAGCTAGCGCCACTTTCAATTGCCATGCATCACTTGGACTTTGGTGCTGTTCGGCATTCCGATGGTGTTGGCGGAAGCAGCAGTGTCCATGGTGGACCCAATATGGGAATCACATCACCATACGATGCTCTTCACGGTGTGGCCACCGGTTCCGCAGAAATGGTCGTTGACTTCCACCATCACTACGTGCCGACGGAGTACTGGAACGTGACACCGTACAAAAATGGCTCCACGCCGATGAAGGAAATGGAAGGTGAATTGACTGATATTTACGACGATAAGCATTTCTAGATAGAGCTGGAATTAGGGCGTAACAACTTTGACTTCTCTCGATGATTTCTAGAAAGCCAAGGCTCGCCCACTCAAATCAACGTCATCATCGGGTTGGGGAAGACTTCCCCTTCCCGTTGGTTATGTTGGTTGGCGTGGACGTGCCTTGAGTTTCGATAAATCATCGAGAGAAGTCATTGTTTACAAAAGCTGTTACGCCCTTATTCCAGCTCTATCAAGATTTGTCCTTTGATGAGTGGATCATAGTCTGGTTTATAAAGTGGACAGTATGGGATAGATGTACCAGTAGGGAGCTTCATTTAACAAATCTGTTTGCAATCATTGCTTTCACCCTGCAGTCCGATTCATAGGCTCAAGGTATAAAATATATACACTCAATTTCGTTCTTACGTTGTTTTGCAGGATGAGTACACAATTTTTAATACCACCTTAGTTTTCTTTGATTTTTTTGTGATTTTTTGGAACAAGTTGCATTAAGATTGGCTGAAAATTAAGGTCACACGAACAAAAATATAGGCATATGTATATATGTATATATATATATGCAAGGAAAACGTTCACTAGGAGGGCTGTTATAAGCAAAAGAGTTTGTTCCATTACTACGTGGGTCATGGCTTATGATGAACATAAATGGATCGTCATGTATCATACAAGTTTACACAATAGATCGCGTAAATGTATGAGACATGTCATGAGATTTTCCTTAATTTTATTCATCTTTGCAAGTTAGGAGCTGTTCATTAACTACCGTTCCGATTCAAATTTCGGACGATTCAAATTTCGGACACTTTCATTTTTAATTAAATATTACATCCAGTTAGAAACAAAGTAATAATGTTAGATGATCGTGGAGGGCACTAGTCTAAAAAATTTAAAATTTACAAGATATGTGGATCATATTCGACCGAGATAATCAACTTTTAAAAGTGTCCGAAATTCGAGTTTAAGTGTCCGAAATTTGAATCGGCACGGTACGTAGACGGTTTTTAAGGATTCTTGACCCTCCCCCCTGCTTAGACAATTTTCCATATTTTTTTTTTAAATTTGTATGGGCCGTGGATAATTGTTCTGTTCTAAACTGTTCTGTGTACATAGTGGTCCAGCATGGGAATTCAGACGGAATTGCAGTCCAACAGCTTATGCTGTAATATTTAAACGATTGGTGTCTTTGGTGAAGTTGTTGTGCTTGAAAAGTCCCTTCTTTGGGTGATTGTAGATATTAAGCTTGAGCTTGAGCTTGAGCTTGATTGACCGCCCACGGTTGCTACTCTGTTACTGCCAGATCAGCTGTAATTACACAGAGAACCAATAGACGATGCTTGGGACTAGCAATCATCCTCAATGTGTAACAACTGGTGATCTTAAATAAGACAATACCAGCGCCGGCCGCGCCCGAACATAGGTCAAGAAAGGAATGGGAAGGATTGTGTTGACATGACACTCGCTTTGATGGGCCGAGAACACCTCTGCACGTCCACGAGGAATCACTGGGATGTTGGATAAGAGGGTTGGGTTTGCAGCAGGATTCGTTTTGGTAAACGATAAGCTGAATTGATGTCCTAACGATCATATAACGCGAAGGAGCTTGGGACTAAACCCACGGTCTTCTGCTCAGTAAGCAAAAACGTTTGCCACTAGGCAGACGAGCAACTTTTTAATCACCGAGTTGCTGTTATTACCATGTAGTCATATTAACAAATAAAACGATTGACGAATCTTGAATGTGGATGGGCTTGAGATTAGACTCATGATGTTCTGCTCAGTAAGCAAAAACGGTTGCTCTAAGGCCACCGAGCCCCTCATATCACATAATACCGTTGCTCAAATTTTTGTATCCATTCAAACCCGGAACCAACGACAACAACGAGTTTCGCAAAATACACGATACACAAGCGATTTTACCATAAATCTCTTTGATATGTAAGGACCTGTGACCGCGTTTTTCTGCTCAGTAAGCAGGCCACTGTAACCGACGATCTTTCAAATCCGAAAACTAAAAACTACGAAAAAGTACTTAGGCCTTCATTAAGTTCCACTTTCACGCGACGTTCAATGACAGGGTCCTATCCAGGATTACATCTGAAAAATCCAAATCTGGCCAACGCCCACCTAAACCTGTTCTAATCCACCTGAAATGACTAACGAATGGAAGACTTTGACTACCCAGCCATGCAATAGTCTCATTCCGTGCCTTATGGCAACTTGATGATTCTATTGCGCTCATCTTTTGGCACCACCCAGGGGAGACTTGGTCCTGTACCCAATGCTTAACTTATCTCCATTCCACTCAACTACTCGCAATTTCTTGTGATATATTGGGTGGAATATTATTATATGAGACAATTCAATGCAGACGTCTTTCCAAATTTGGCAGATTGACAGGTAATCGGTGAGTTACCACGATAGTTGCTATTCAACAACTCGACAACGTCCCATCGTCAACGCCTGCTATGATAATTTCCCATTGCAGACGCCAACGAAATGACGTCATCGAGCTATCGATCAACTACCCTGGTTATCGCCTTGTACCTTATAGCACGATGCTAGGAGGCGAACCGGAAGAATCGATGAGCTACCTCTCCCCCTTTGGGTGATTGTAGATATTAAGGTGAACCTGAAAGTAATTGATATTCCAAAACTAATGTTTTTTAAATAAAGAGATATGGTGTTCAGCAAAGTTGTAGCTGAGGTCATTTCAAGCTACTTTGTGAATGAAACATTTGTTTCTTTGTCATAACTGTCTCATTTTAAAGTAATTTTTCAGAATAGCAGAATATAGCTTTTTAACTCTAAGTCATTCGTTTCAAATTTCTCGTTATAGTCGTTTTCAACAAACTTTTAGAATTTATTAAAATACAAATTTTTGCCCAGTAAAGCGAATTAATATCTCTTAAAGAGCATAAAATAAATTTGGTTTTAATTAACTCAATTTGAATAAAAATATAAGCAAAATTGTGAGATACCTTCTTTTTCAAACACGTATAAAATCAATTTGACTTTGTTCATTTTTTTTTTAAAGAGTTGCAGACATTTTTTCTGCAAACATGCATCTTATAACGCTTTTTTTATCAGTCAATATTTTATCGAACATCGCGTAATATCTTCCCTCGTTTAATTTTAAGCTTTAGACGGCATTTCGCTTAACTTAACATGAAATATCATTTTCATTTTCATTTTGCAGCGTTTGGTGGGGCAATGGGAGCGCAAGTCAATCCAAAGCCGAGGATAAAGGACGGGTAATGGCTGAATAGTCTATGCGGACCACTTGAACGCCATGGGAAAAGGAAGGGATTGAAGAGGCCGGTTATTGGGGGGTTTTGAGGAAATGACATATAGTGATGCAAAATGTAAAGAAACCGAAAATCCATCTCCCACTGATTCATCCTTTCACATATATACCAAATTGATATTTTAAAGCAATAATCAAAATAAACAGACAATACATGAAAAGGCTAGTTGCCAGTTGCTTTAAAGGCTAGTTGCTTCCCTAAGCGGACCCTCCGGATCCTAACTCTTCTGTTAACCAACTAAATGCTACTAGGCTGTCTAAATTTTCTTATTTAAATTCGTTTGATGATTATGATATCTCTAGTCTAATTTAATAAATAATTGAAATCTCTAATCTACCTACCATGCTTTATTAAGTACCTGCACTTGCAAATGTAATCTAAAATTTAACGTGTTTCAAGTTGTTTTTGACTTTGACCTATATTTAATATATATTAGTTCGTCCCAGGTGACACCTTCAAGTGACTAAAATGCTTCACTTTGAAGTTAGTTTCCTAGCTGATTTTTAAATTACATAGGGTATATGCTTCAACTACGCTCACACGTTTCCACTATGTTGCACCACAAAAAAACGTATGGTTATGTCACAATAGAAACACGCCACAGTGGAAATCCCGAGCCATAGTTCAAACACTTATCCCAAATCAAAATGAAGCACATATAAGATAAGTTGCAAAACCATGTACAAAAATGGTGTTTAACATTGTTCCCTGAGTAATACCTCAATGAAAACAACAACGAAAGCTTGTCACGCAAGTAGAAGGAGCACTGTTGGGCACTTTCTGAAATATTTCAATAGTATAATTCCCTTGCAAACCCAAATAAATCTATCTGCGTAAAAATAAATAAAATAAGAGTGATTTGCGGCAAAACCCGCCAGTATCGCACCCAACGTCAGTGCCTATACGTAAGCGTACTACAACGCGGCTTTCAAATAAAGGAGTAACAAGTGTGATACTATCACTTCAGGCTAGAACTTTGGTTCTCTTATGCAATGGTTCATCAGAGAGGGGAAGCTCAGTAATCCTCATCGCATGCTCATGACGCTATTCTGTTACGGCATGAGCCAACAATGCCGGACCTAAACCAACCGTATCCAACGCTCCACTATGAAGCATAAGATTAGGCCCGCCCACCAACGTCCAGGTTAAAAAACTAGCCAAGGGGAGGGCTTAACTTAACATGAAATATCGGGAAAATTTACACGCTATATATCGCAGGTCATTTAGAAGCTTATAGTAAAAGCTTTCATGAACATCTTCACACATTAGAAAAGATCTATCCAATGTAGAGAAAAGTGATATTGAATTAATTTTTGATTTTCACAAGAATCGGCAACTGTTTGGTTCTATTACCTGTATCTTGGTAAGTATATGGTTTAGAGAACTGAATTTCTGAGCTTTTCTCTGTTGAGTAGTCTATGGACAAACACAAATCACGAATCGGAGAAAGTCGGTATTCTTCTTATTGGCCATCTGAAGTGCACTGTGCAGTGATTGAAAATGTCATTTTCATGAGCTTAATAGTTAGCGTCTTAATACGACATTTTTCAGTTATGATGTGATTGATCTTTTTTGGTATGCTATTGCGCTTCTTTTAAAGATTTGATAGCAATGATTAATATATCATATAAAGTCTGGATCGCGCAAAAATTGGTCAACTTCATTAAAAAAA